GAAAAGCCCGCGCTCTAATCTGGGCTGGGGACTAATTAAATATTATTTTTTTCATGTTTATTTTATAAATTAGTAAAATTCATAAATTATTTTAAAATTAGTTATATATAAAATAATTTTTATTTGTAGATTTTCGTTAGTAGGTCGTAAAAAGAATATACTATACAGCTCGACTGGATTATCCATATCCGCTCTTGTTGCAAAAAATTGGTATTTTAATTGGTGGACTGGTGATTATTTAGATTTAAAGATGTATGATTGACATTCGAATTGATCTGTTACCACTTAATACTTTTATTGTAGACGATCACAAAAATATGAGTTTTTACATCACATGGACACAATAACTTATTCACTTAACATCTATCAATCTTTATTAAAAAACTAATCACATAGCCGTTTGATATATAATTTAATTTAGGAGTTAATACTAAATGCCAACATGGTGGCGCGTGGCTTCTTAACTAAAGCCGTCGCGTCGTAGAAAACTGTTGCTTCGGAGAGGTGAAAATATTTCTGATTTATGAAGCCACGATGGCTTGAGACTCGCGTCATTTTGCGTCATCGTCCCCGTTCGTTAGTTTTGACCAATTATCGGCAAGTCGGGACTCACTCTATTGGCTTTTGCAGGCTAGATCTGCCGACGCGGGAAAGGGTGACGTAATCGCCTTCGGTTGAATCTAGAAAGGCCAGAGACGGAGTTAAGAACAAAAAATGGTAAAACAAACAAATGGATTGTGCTAACAAGTTAAAGTACTTCAACAGTTGCTCTTGTTACAGTTTTGGTCTAATCTCAGTTGCTTCCAACACCTTAGTTGTTTCTCTATGAATCGTTACGATACCCTCTTCTTAGATACTGCATTAGCCCTCACATTTCTTATTTAAGTGTTTTTAATAGATATTTTTTACTATTTAATGCATCTAACTAGATCTTACTATTTATTTGTTCTTTAGTAGAAAATATTCTAATCCGAAGATATTTTTCTTTTAAATCAAAGAATAGTCAGAAATCACATATACTTAATTTCATTTTAATGCAATTATCCTAAAAAATCAATTGACTGCAGTTTTAACCTGCCTTCACGGGGTTCATTCTGTATTTGCATCCCGTACCAAATTTCTTAAACAATCTATTATTATATAGTCGTAAAACATAGCACTTTAGTTCCAAAAGCACATTACAAGTGATTAATGCATTGGAGTCCCACAAGATACAGTTCTATATTGTTCCGAATTTAAATGTATTGACTGTTACATTCACAATAGACAACTTATATTGCGGTTTCTTTTACTGATGCCAATAATCAAGTTTCCATACATTGAAAATTCCAATCACAAAAAATATTTAGGAATTACTATAAATAATAATTTTAGATAATAAATAATTTATCAAAACTAGTACCAATGAAGACGTTTGCCTTGTTAGAAATGTAATTGTGCTTCTGTCGTCAATTAAAAAGCTATAAATGCATCTTTGACTACATTTCCAAAAATTTTACTATAAAAAAATAACAATTTTTTTGCACGCCGCTGGTTTTGGTTCTTGTGCGAATTTCGCACTCGAAATGACAATTTAATCTCGTCTAGATATTCCTTTAACATGCCAATGAAATACCGAATTAACCCTGATAGAAATAAAGTTTAAAGACTGAAAGAAGGCGCCGTGAATAGTAGAAGGAACTGAATAAACTGAAACGGCTAATGTACCTATTGTTCGGGTAATCTCATCATCTATCGTCGAGATTAATATATTTTCGAGTAATAGAAAATCTGTAAAACTTACGAATTTGTGGCTTTTACGGATTTTTAACCAATAAAAATTTGGAAAGGCAGAGAGAAAATTTTGGTATTAAAAGTTTATTTATATTAGCATCAGTCGTAAATGTATTCTGTAAGGTAAGGCGAATGAGTTCCCACTTCAATAAACCTATTGGTTTTATTAATCAACTTTTTCCTACAACGCACATCCAATAAAGTAGACATGATTTAATTTATTTTATTGTGTATGTTGGAAATATATCCAACATATTGCACTAATTCATCAGGCTAGTCCGGTACCTGAGGGCCAAACTAATTAATTATCTAATAAACAAATAACTCTTAAATAATAATTTAACTAACTAAGAAAAAATAAAAATTAGTCAAAGAATCCAAGAGAAACAGATGGTGATATTTCCCTATCGGCGTCGGTCTCTCTCACGCTTGCTCAAGCAAGAAATAGTTGTGTAATCATATATTTGCAACCTTTCTAGTCACACACTAATTATTTTATTTTTTATTTTTTCTCGAAACAAGTGATTACCGAATTCATACCATACTTATTATTTTATTGTAGTTTATTGTTTTTTAAACAATTTATATTTTGAAATAAATTATTTGTCATTATCTACCAAGAATAATAATCTTTGTAGAGAATGATACAAGGATGCAATCTAAGTCCCCTTATACTAGTTTGGATGATGTCATTAAAGAAAATTGAAAGGATCCAATAGGTACAAATCAGGTTATAAATAACTGGAATTCGTTGAAAATTATTGACCTAGTTGACATTTTTATATGCGATATTATTATGGTTCTATTTAGTGAGAAATGAAAAAGAACAACAAAACAACTTACAGATCTAATTGGTAGATTTGAAAAATTAAAAAAATATTAAATAATAGAAGTTCTAATCAAACAAAATATATTTTAAATGTGTATAATAACTACATAAATTTTGATTGAATTTATAACCTCGGTAGATGCTATGAGGCAATGGATTAGCTTGTGTGGTGCTTTAAAATTTGATTATATATTATTATATATTTTAATTTTCAATTTGCAAGAATATTATTATTATAAATGACAATGTTTGAGAAACTTTTTGTTTTATTATATTTATTTTACCTCCCTATTTTTGTTTAATATAACGTTTAAAAAAATAATGATGTTGACTATGGCTTGGAATGGTAATTACCCCTCTAATCTACGCCCTTGATCAGTAATATATTTGGAAATCAAATAACCTAGAAGTGGTTTATTTTGACGTAAAAGTCAGTTTACAGAACACATTCAGTTCATGGGTTCATGCATTTTCTAAAACTCATTGATGGCATCTATTATTCATTAAACTAGTTATTTTATCCATCAACAATTAAAAGGGATATCTGTGATTATTTTTGGATTGGAGATAATAGCATATATGAATATTTAAAGTTGATATTTGTTTGGTGCAAAACAGATTTAAGTGATATATTGACCTAGACTGCCATTTTTTGGTGATTAGAAATACTATGTGAAGAATTCCTACAGTTTGGTGAAGCAACACAGGTACAAACGTCACTTGTACCCTTTTTATTCAAAAATGCACTTATACCCCTTTTATTCTAAGGCCCTCAATTTTAAAATGAGTCATACATCGGATTCTAAAATTAAATCTTAATTTTCAGATGGTTGTCACAAAATCTATCTGCTCTTTTCTGTTGATGGACTGATGGATCAATTAACATTATTAGATAAGAAAATTGTGGTTTGATGTTAGTTCTGAATCAAAATAAGCTGCTCGTAGATTTCGAATTCATTTTTCTTTAATGACTTAAAAATTATTAAATATCAAATATCAGTCGTTCCTAAGAAATTCGATCATTAAAAAATCAGGATTGCAACAGTCGGAAATTTATTGGTCACGTGATCTATCAACAATACATTTTGTTGAATGATAGAAAATGTCTTTCTATTCTGCTAGTTTCGCAATAACTGCGTCCATCTATTGGACGATGAAGTTCTGTTCCAGAGGTACGTTCGTGTTTAGGTTAGTTTTTCCTGTTCTGGTTGTTCGGTACGCGCTAGGAGGGTTTTTCAAAAAGTCTTTGGATTAATAATTGGCAGGAGATCTATTAGTTTTTAGAATTTAGGTCCATTTTGTAATGAAACATTTTTTTTTACATTAAGGGTTCACCGTACACGACTTTACCATAATACTGTTCCATCGTGGTCCACTTGCTTATTAGCCAACTGGTCCACTACTTTACACAAGCTCTTCATAGATAGTACTTCTTCTTGATGAGAAGATGGTGATGGTGTGGGTACAGGCATTATGCCTGCTAATTTGTTAAGTTAAATTTTCTATTATTTTTTTCTAAGGAATGTTCCTAAGGTATTATTCATAATTTTTCTCAGATAATTATATTGTCTTTTAATTTTAAAAGTTGTTGTTTATGAATAGGTACGAGTATGCATGTGGTACGTAGATGCTAATTTAGTAATTTTCTTTAATGGCATATCGGGTCGGTGGTGTAGCGGTCTAACGCGCTTATATTCATTTATAAGTTTATGTGTCAGAGACTGCTGGGCTTCGAATCCCAGACCAGACCATGTGGATTTTTAATTAAATTGCATGGTTCGGTATAGGATTTGATGTGTGCCGTATTAATAGAAATTCAATTTCTGTTGATAAGACATGCAGATTATAAAAAATCGCCATACATTACCGTCTCGATGATGGTGGGTGAGGTTTTCCTCACCTGTAAGTCAAATGGCACTATCAATCATCTTTAAGTCGCCCCGGAGCGCCACGGCAAATAATAATAATAATAGCCGTCCCTTTCCCCGCACAAGCTCAGCTTTTGGGGTTAAAATTCACTCGTAAGGGGGTGAATTAAGGAGAGTATTATTATTATTATTATTATTATATTATTATTATACTGTGGTAACGTAAAAAGGTAAAAATTAATATTTTACGTGATATGTAATGTTCTACTTAACATTTTGCGCATGTTGTTCCTCATCTTGATACCAATACCGTTCTATCTATTGACGGATTTACTATTTTTTTTTTTTTTTTATTTATGGATATGATGTAAACTATTTAATTTATTTTCGTTACACTTATAAGAGGTGGTTATAATTAACAAAATTTCAATTCTTGGTATGCAACAGGGCCGGCTTGTTTTTTATGTGCTTAAATACGGGTAGCTGACGTAGCTGTACGTATTTTAACAAGTTTATTTTTAAATACTTACGATAATTGGCTGCCACTGTCTGACTCCTGTAAGTACAATACTCTGGAATGGAATAAAATACTCATCGACATATCTGTATATTATTGAGCTCGTTTGATAGTTTATTTTCCCTTGTGAATCTGAAACAAAATTAATATTAAAAGCCTACAAAATTATAATTTACACTGTCGAGAATTCACCCCGTCTTCCCTTATTAATTGTGATTGATGGAAACAAACCATCACATACTTAACAAGGGATTGAAATCTTTACAACATAAATCAACATTGATGCTGCGAACGTATATGGGTAATCTCATTACGGTATTAGAACTTAAAGCCGACTTCCCGACAAAGTAACTTTATGTAAATTAATAGCAAGTTAAACTATTACGAGGGTGGTTTGATAGCTTTAAACCTAAAATTGTAAATATTAATGTATTTTAAAACTCAATTTTTGAGAAAGTTGAGTTTAGAATTAGGTAAGCATTTCTAAGAAAACACTCAAATTATTCCGACGTGTCCGATCATGTTCTAATTTGAAGGGTACAGGGGTAAAAGGGGCTCATGAGCATTTTTATGTTTTTCCATCAGAGCGTGTTTAAGGTTGAAATTCTAGTTTGCGAACGCTACGTTGCTTTTTTCAAGTTTTTAGAAATATTTCTGAAGGTTAATAAATAACAAACAAACTACGGTAAATATTTTTTGAGACAGTTTATATTTCTCTGAACAAAGAAAAATTAAAAACTCTTACAACTACAAAAACTACAAGGGAAAAAGAGGTTCATTTCATTGAAATGAGCTCGTTCTTTCACCGTACTACTAACAGCGATCGTTGTTAGTTAGGAAGACAATAAAATAATATTCTAAAAAAAGGAAATTTTTGAATATAGAAAAATTATCTTAACCTCTAAATCTTCTTTATTGGTGCGGCAAATTTGCAAAAAATTCTTGCGCTGCTCGGCTGGAAAACTTTTTCAAATGCTGAATATCGCGAAACTTCTCAGCATATATTGGAAGCTGTCCTAAAATAAATATAAAAAATAATAAGAGAAATACAGTGTGGTAATAATGAATAATTTAAAATACCTTCATAGCTATACTCAGGTAGCCTAAATTCGTTATCCTTGAGGTGACAAACAGGTAGCCTTGAGGATTTGCGGCGTTTTCCTTGCAATGAAGCTGACTCCCAAGCCCCATTGTATGTGGTGCGATATTGTAGAAGAGCTCCTCTCTGTATGTTGATTTCTCTGATTGGCCTAGATGGGAATGGCGACTTTTTAGGGTAACTATTGTCGAGAAATTTTGTCCAACTACGGAATAATGTGTGATTCACATTGATAACGTTGAATGGAGTTGGCGAATGGCGGGCATCCTCCAATATTTGCAACCAGTCTTCGGGAACTTCTGATCTCGATTTTTGGTTAACAGGACCAAAATTCTAATCACATTCCATATATGAGTGTCCTCGAATAGGAAATGTGATACCAACGGATTCTAACCTTTTCTCATTGTTAACTAGGTTGTTCAGAAAACGAAATTCTTTTGTTGACCACTGCAAGAGTCACAAAATATTTTCAGATGCTTCACTTCTGGATCAAGATGGCTATATATGAAGTTATGAAGCAGTGAGCACACATCATCGGAACACTTTTTCCCTTCGGATTCTGAATAAGCATAAAAATAACTCCCAGAAGTAGACAAAACATGCACGTTAAATGCATATACTGATAGCTGTCTCTTGTAGTAAATATCATTTGTTGGTATATTTGGAACCTGCAGATTCTTGGCGAAGTCCATACAAATTGCCTCTGTGTTAGAATTTTTTCTACTGTTTTTCTTATCCATTTTCTTCCGACTATAAAACATTTCTGCTTTTTTCTTATGTAATGTATTTTCTGTAGTTAATCTTTTTATTTCCATAGATATTTGTAGGTTTTCCGTATTTTCCAGTTTTTCAGATTCTAAGTTTTTAATCTTTACTGTAAACTCATCACAAGCGCTACAAGTGTCTGTTCGCGGATATCAAAAAGAAATATTGAAGTCACAACAAAACACCTGTCTATACGATTCATAGGATATTTTAGTGTTAGGGTGCAGCTCCTTAAACATTGTATGCATTTTTTTGACATTTAATTCCTCGGAAAGGTATATTTTTGTAGAGACCTTGAGGCTATAATGACTTCCACGGACTTTAAAGTAATTAATATGTTGCCTGACCAGATTTAGTGTTTCTACTGAAAGTTCATTAAGATGGTTTGGGTGTTTACCTCGTTTATCCTGCGGAGCATATCCTGTTTCCTTTAAGCTTGATACCAAGATTTCCACTTTCTTTTTTGTAATGCCATGAATAGCAATAAATGCTTTACGGCACACATTAAATTCCTTTGTGTTTTCTCCTACAAGAGCCCGAATCCTGTACTTATAGGATACACCATAGTGTTTAGCGCCTTCTTTTAAAGTCTTACGTTGAACAGGAAGTACTGCTATTAATCCACAGAGATATAAATTTTGAGCATCAGTCGAACCTATCATATTAAATTGCTTCAATACACTATTTCTTATGTCGTAGGGCACAACATCAAAACATGTTTTCAAACAATTACAGTCTGGACCCATTTCATGACTTTGGACCCTCATTTTCTTTTTAACGTCCCTTATTCTGCCATAAGATTTTATTTTCTTACTTCTAGCCTTCATCACACTACTTATATTTAGCTCTCCATCACTGCTAATATCACCACCTTCCATAATGAAAACTCAAAAATACACAAACTTACACTACTAGAGACGCGTTCTTGACGGCTGATGCAATAATACTACGAATAATGGCAATCGCCACCCAAATCAAACAGGCAAAAACGCGCACATTGTACACGTGTTTACAATGAGCTCGTTGTTCCCGTGTATAGGTTTTTTTTAAGTGCAGATATCTCATTAACCAGCCCGTTTTATCTAGTTTGGAAGCTAAGAGGTGATAATATAATGAAAAATACTATCCATCCGGAATATATCGCTCTTTTGGCCAAAGATGCGATGAGCCCCTTTTACCCCTGTAACCTTCATTTCTTAAGTACCTCTTTGCCTTATTTGACCCTTTAAAGCTTCCATTTTTTCCGCTAACACGATTATTTGTTGAAATAAGTTAACTTTCGAAAACTCCCCTGGGAGACGACTATGGCCACCGTCAGTGGAACTGATTAATTCATTCTAGAAAGTACTGAAGCCGTGATGAAGCATTTAGAGAGATATACATTTTTGGATTAAAGACTCAATAGAAACATAGTGAACGTACTGGTCTACAGACATTCTCCCAGTTTCCAGGTTACAACGACGACCGTCCCTTCTTACGTCTATGCAACTGAAAATTGTAAAACACCATCCAGTTGCAGATACAATTATTTAGTACCAGTTCCGTAAAAGTTTCTAAAATAATCTCTTAATAAGCTAAATAGGTCGAGCCAAAATTCCTGAAAATATTTTCTTAATACTTTAAAAAGTAAATTTTTAGGTAATATATTATGTAAATCGATTTGGGATATATTACTGACTAAAGCTATGTTTTCTTTATTTTTTAAAACATTTTTAAACATAAGTTTTCATGTCTGTATCATTTTCAACTTTTTAGTTATAGGAATAGTCCGCAATGATGAAAACGATTTAAAATTTGAATTTTTTTTCTTAAAAGGAATATACAGGGCCATTAACACTACAAATTAAAAATATTTTGGATTATACAGGGTGACCCAAAAATAGAAAAATGTATATCAAAGTTATGTTTTTTTAAAGGAAACACCCTATATTTAATGGTGTCTTTTGATTCCCCGGAAAAATAAAATAAAGTTTCTGTAATGTTTCCTATATCTATATTCTTTCGTTTTTGAAACATTTAAAGGATTCTTAATTTGTAAGCTTGAACAACATAAGTATGTCGCGGTTATTTAAAACACATCAACAGTCACCTGCGATTTGCGTAGTCAAGATATTAGACTAACAAATAAAATGCAAATAATTCCATTGCATCATACAGGGTGTTCATTTAGTCTAATTGAATTCAACTTACACATGGAGTTGAATAATATTCTTATTTTAAATGGCACACCCTGTAATTAATAATAAACTGATAGACATTTAAATTATCTTTCATTCCATATAAGATTTCCCTATATCTAACTTCAACCCCTATACCTAAATTCAACGGTTTTTTTAATAAATATCTGTTTTTATGTTTAACATAGCTAATTTTTGTAAATACTCTATCCCGTCAAAGTGACCATTGCATTTAAATGTCAAATGCAAGTTTGACATTTCTATTTAGTAAGTTAGATATCAAATGTACGAAAAATCGAATTTGAAACATGAAAACTTGTTAAGCAAAGGGAATTGATATAGTGCTTGTTCTTGGTCATGAGTGTCATGAAAACTGTTTATTGGCTTTTAGAGTTTACAGCCAAAAATACCCAGATCGAGAGAAACCTGACAGACGAGCTTTTGAAAGATTACTACAACAGTTTAAAGTTAGCGGAAACGTAGATTATAAAAAAATTATTCAGCCTCAACCTATTGTAAGAGATCATGATAATGAATTTTGGGTTATTGGCTCACTAATAGAAAACCGACACACAAGTCATCGGACTATTAGTAGAGAAACAGGAATAAGTAGGAGAAGTATTGGACGAATAATAAAAAACATAAATTTCATCCTTATAAGATACAGCTGCACCAAGAACTGTATCAAAGGGACTTTCAACAAAGAATCGATTTTTGTTTATGCGTTATGGATAAAGTATAATCAGATGCGGATTTTTTTGATAATGTTCTGTTTTCGGACGAGTGCACATTTCATAATAATGGACTCGTTAATCGCCATTACTTTCATTATTATAGTGATGAAAATCTTACGTCTTTCGTACTCTCGATCATCACTATCATCAGCATAGGTGGTCCTTGAATGTGTGGGGAGGAATATTAGGTTTACATGTTATTGGTCCTTATTTTTTTACCGGACATCTTAATGGCAGAAAATTTCTAAAATTTTTGCGGAGAAAATTATCTAGGCTCCTTAATTATGTAACTTTAAATACTAGACAGAAAATGTGGATGCAGTTGGATGGAACCGGCGATACTTAAACCGACGTTTT